CCTCCCCCAGGTTTTTTCCTCTGGAGAACCCTTTTTCCTGCCTGCCCTCCACGCCAGATATTCTCTGCCCCACCACAGCTTCTTCATGTTCTCTTGCGCAGCAGAGTGCTATTACCAGCTGTCAAGCTTTATTTTTAATTATGGAAGCTTAACAAATGAACTGGGAGGGGGAACCCACACAGCTTCTCTTGGTCTCTTTTAAACGTTTATTAATAACTCCAGGTAAAGGTTTTCTTAATGCAGAAACAAGGAGTGGGTGTCAGCCCTAGACTAAACTTGCTTGCTTGCCTTTTGCTAACTTGGAGATGCGGCTAAGAAGGGTTCAGGCTACTTGCCTGGGTCAGTGACTTGTTCTGCATGTAACCTTAAGCCATTGTTAGCTTTAGCTATGGTTTATTGAATAAACTATCATTGGATGGATTTGCATATCACACTAAGCCGCCAATCTGAGTGTATACCCTGTTTAGGTCAATGGGACTGATTTGTAACAAGACATCTAGATTGGCTTATATCTTGTGCTAAGCCACGATTTGCTTCAGTCATGGTTTGCTGAGCTAATTACAGTGTCCTGGTTCATACTTAATGCTAAGCCTCAAACTATAATTTACATACTGAAATGATTAACTTCACACAACACACTAAGCCAAGAACAAATGATTTGCATTCTGGCTTGGTAAAACGTAGTTTACTATTGTATGTTTCCAGTATTTTTCAGTATATAGTTCTCTTAGGCTGCTTGAGGAGAGAAAAAAAAGTTTTTGTTTTCTTTTAAGAAGAATATTGCAACTGAATATATTTTTAAAAACCCTTCAGCCACCTCCAGTCTGGGCAAAACTCCATTCTCTAATAACTGGCAATCCACATTTATAATAGGATGGCTACTGATTTAATGCATCTGGATTCCTCAAGACAAGCCAGGAGCTGCAGAAATTGGACAAGAAGATGGAGCTGCAGTGACTTAAGCTTTAGAAAAGCCTGCAAAGTATTGCCATCAGCTGTAAGGCACAATTCCAGTTCCAAAATTAAAAAAAAAAAAAAGTAAATAAAAATAACACAACGTAGGGCTGTGTTCCCAGAATATTGCCAAGAGAGGTGATGGCGTGCTGAAATTCTAAAAAGAGAGCTGCCAGGAATAGTGACTAGAAGTTCTTTTTTATTCCATGATTTGACATTTCTTTTCATATCTCAAAGAGGGGAAGAAAGACACCTGTATTTTGGATCATCGTTACGTCCACTCAATGTGATCAGTTGAGAAATCGCTTAGAAAGCAAACAGGGGTTATTATTAACCTTTCTTTAGCCATCAGGGTTCACTTCACACAGAACCAGGACAGTAAAACCCTGTGAGTACTGAAGCTGAAGGACATCTAGGCTGGCTTTTGTTCCTGGGGACAAGACTGAGAGTGGTGAAGAGGCCACGTTAACCACTCTTTGCTTTCCAGTTACTGGATGTGGTAGGAGTTTTCCATAATTGCCTGTATATGTCTACTTAGAAGCAAGGATGTTTACCAGCATTTTGCCTGTATTGGTGGGTTCCCGGGCGTGCCTTCTACAGCAGCCATTTTGTGAGCAGGCACCTCTCTGGGGCACACATTGTATCATGGCGCCCACCACACTGTTCAACATTCCAAATGTGCCCACTGGACCAAAAGAAGCTGGCATTAAACCCTTTGGACTGC